CCTAGCTGGAGTCTGTATGGGGACTGATGGTCTTGGGACTGCATATCATCTTGCTATAAAATAACATGACATTTAGATAATGACGTAAGTAGGCACTTCAGACTAATTTTCTCGTCCCCTTGAGATCTGCCTGACCTGGTAACAATTTAAAACATGAGAAATGCTGTATCTGAAGCTGTATGATTAATATGTCCCCACTGGAAAAAGGAAAAGCTCTCTCTAGTATTAAAAAAAAACTTTCTACTAGCTTTGACCAGTGGAAATATTTTCACACAAGATGTAAACTGTTATGTTTACCTTCAATCTGCAAAAAGAATCCACTGCTAGTGAAAATATGTTCCATTACAAGATAAACTATAGCTGAATTGAACTTAAACATCTCTCCTCTATACGTAATACAAAGCTTCCTGATCTCTATCATTAAACCTAGAAAATAAGACTTTTACACCAAATGCTATCAGAAGGTAAACAAAATAACTGTGGAATTGTGTGCTCTGCAGCCTGGATGAATTCATGTGTTTCTTTTTTTTGTTTGTTTGTTTGGTGTTGTTTGGTTGTTTGTTTTTTTTTTTTTTTTTTTTTTTTTTTTTTTTTTTTTTTTTGGGTGGCCTCTTTTTTTTTTTTTTTTTTTTTTGTTTTTTTTTTTTTTTTTTTTTTGGTGTGTGCCCGAAGCACTCCTTAGTAATGTCTTACCTTGAGGCTTTGCTTTTTTTTTTTTTCTCTTTCTAGAGTAAGAATCCTAAAGGAAAAGTGTAAGTATTAGAATATAAAACAAATCTTTCTAACTTGGGAACTTCTGAGATTTCTTCTTTACTTTCACACTTCTAAAATGTTTTTAAAATGCAAGACAGAAAGGCTAAATACAAACCAGATAAATATTCCCTGTGTAATTCTAGTGGTTTAGAGGGACCGATATATAAACTGGTGAATATGGAAGTTATTAATCTCAAATGAAATGTACAGATTTGTCCTAATGCATAATACAAACCTCCCTTGAAAATATGAAAAGATGCTTCTTTTCTCGTCACAAACTTACTGCAGTGTGCAAGGAAAAATATTTTGGTTTGTGTATTCATTTTATCTATGTCTTGTATAATACCATAGCTAACAGGCAGGGGGAACAGGTGGACATAGGGTTGAAGTTGTTCTAGGAACGAGAAATAGAGGGAGGGTTTAAGAAGAAAACAAAAACAAAAAACAAAAACAAAAACCTCAACAAATGCATAAAATCTTCAGCTCATTATTATAAGAGTATGAAAGAACACTTTTTTTTTTTTTTTTTTTTTTCAAGAGAGATAAGATTATAGGTTATTCTTTCTCATCTAGTTATTCAGTACTACCAGACATAAAGAGCAAAATCATACTTAGTTTTGTGTGGCTTATAAGGAATGACAAGAATAACTGCCAAAGTTTCTAACTTGTTTTAAGGCATCTTAAATCATTCAGGGGCTGTCTCCTGGGTCTGCATGTGCATATGCCTGACCAAACACTTGCATCTATATGGAGGTCTGCTCTTGATCCTTAACAGAACACCAAGCCTTATTAATGTCACACAATTGTTGACAGAGTCTTATTGGGCTGTTCTGAAGAGGATCCCAAGCTGAATTTGATTGTAAATAGACTGGTGAATATTTTCACTACCTTTGGAACTTCAGTAGCTTTGCTGCTATAAATCTTTTCTTCAGTCCTCAATTATGGATTTTCTTTTTTAATATGTTTCTAGGTGGCTATGGCTGCAAATGTCAACTAGTGCAAAATGCCATCAAGATTTTTAGTACCATACTCCTGCTCATTTAGAATCTCAGTACTTTAAAAGATACTGCATGCCTTTCTCCACCTACAGATTTATGCATCTTACATTTGCATTTAAATAGTCCCTTTAATGACAACACATTATTCCAGCTCTATCAACATCTAGTTTTAGTACCCAAGTACAACAAAACAAATGTATGATGTGTTTCCTCGGAATTCAGTTTGATCCAATGTAAAACTGTGAAAGACTTTGATACAAAAAAAAAAAAAAAAAAAAGAGAGAAGGGAGAAGCTGTTCACAAACAAAAATATAAGAAAATGGAGCAAATTCTTTTGAAACCGCTTCCTAAGGTCCATAGGAAAGTAGTTAAACCCGGGGGGTAGAGAAGGAGTGTATGTGCCAAGGAGCATGCAGCAGATCAAGTGTAAGAAATGAAGGATTCCATGCTGCCTGCTGTGTGTAGACGTGCAGTTCTTATTGCCCATAGTACAGCTGTGTTGTTTCTCACTGCTGTAGTTTGTTCATTAAATCAAACCACAACGAGTCCCCAGACTACTGTGAATGCTGTAGTTAAGGTGATAAATTCATAGTGCTGGAAATGATTACCTATGATGTAGGACAGGAACTGAGTTATCAGCTCCTTCTGAGTATAATAGAAATGAAAGAATTAATTGTTCCAACAAATACCACTTCATAAAATGTTGTGCATTAGCATCATGAGAGGTTCCTAAGATTTTTCTGATGCCCTCCTATGAGAAAAACATCTTCAAGTTGTTAAGGACAATTTTCTGTATGTGTGTTTTAAAATCTGTTTGTGTACGTTCTCATAACTGCAGTTCTTGAGGTTTAAATACATTATTCTGTGTATTTGCATTCTGCTAAGTTTTGTATTTTTTCCCACAGCATTTGTTTGACCACACTGTGAGATAGGCACCTTTCCTGAGTTACATGAACAAATAAGATATGAGTCACTTTCTTGTACATGTATCGATGCTCATTTGTCACCTTTTTGTGGATTCATTGAGTTTTGAGAGGTTCTTTAAGAGTTTTCACCCCATCAGCACAGCACTTGAATATCCAAATCTATGAGTTGGAAGGCTGTACTGCATGTGCCATTTGTTGATGAATTCAAGTGATCTCTGCACCAATCTTCTGCTTTTTCTATCATGAGATGTGAGTATAGGAAGCTCTATCTCCTACTTGGTATCCTTTAATTGGTTTTCAATTCATGAAAAGGACATTTTTTTTCCAATTTCAGATTAGATTCTTTATTAAAGCCTTGCCTAGGGGTTTTTATCCACATGCTTCTCTAATACCATTCTAGTCCTGTAGAAGCTTTGTGAAACTGTAAGCAGTCACACAAATCTCAGCTGACCATTTTAACCTTTACCCTCAGTAAACTACCTTACTCTTTATTACAGACTTGACCATCCTATTGGGACTGGAAATTGTTCACAGCACTGAGGCTTCCCTCTAGATTCCTTTTTACAGATGGGAGCTATTCTGCAATTTGTCAGTCCTCTGACACACTGGCAATCTGTACTGATGGGTGAAGGCACTTCAGTCAGTACTTTTGCAGCCTTGTATTTTATTTCTTTCAGAGATCTTTGATAAATGCAATTTGGTCCTGAGAAGTTACCACATCTAGCTTGTTTATTTAAAGCTAATACACAGAAGGTGCTTGAATGAAGTAGCTCTTCTGACCTATCTGATACAGAGAACTCATTCTCTATGTCACAGTCTTAACACTGGGTGCCCCCTTCTTAAACCTTGGTCATCAGCTCTCTCCTCAGTTCCCTCCTTGCTTCCTTGCTGTTGTTGTGTTAATAATTTGGTACTACAATGCTGCTACCAACCTGAACATTATCTTCACATTACTTTTCTAGCCCTCTTATATTTACAGTTGACTTGTGATGTTCTATGAATGTTTCTGTTCCCCTTGCCAGCATTAAACACAGAACTCCCTAAGATGCTTTTAAAACTTTGATCTACATAAGTCTCTTTACTCTTTGAGTTGTGGCACATGTTTAACTAGATACCTAATAGAATATTTAACAGTCTTCCTTGTTCCAAGAAGTCACTGTATACCACTGGAAAACTTAGTCTCATCAGTTCTCTTACTACCACTGCCTGAACATCTTCTCTTATCTCACTTCCTGATCACTATCATTATCTTGATCAGAGGTCAGTATCACAGTTCTCAAGGATTAAATTTATTATTACAGGAGAACAGACCTCTGTGCTGTTGTATCCTATGTCATCCTTCACGCATGGTGCTACTGTATTACTCACATACACTATGCCATTTCTACGTCAGTAGCCTGACAACAGTGTCATACTGATATGTGTGTGTGTGACTATATGTATGCATGTACATGCACGCAGTTTTCCCACCAGGTCTCTGAAGTGTGTTATTCTAGGGCTGTGGTTTGATAGCAAACATTCTAATTCTTCCAGTTGCTTTTTAAGTTAAATTGACACAAAGCCCTTGTAAATTCTGCCCTATATTCCACATGTTGATATGTCTGATTTGCCTTCCCTATGCATTATGATGTTCCTTCCTAGCTAGCATTCAGTGCTCCTCTGAAAAGGCTACATCTGCCTTCATGCTTTGAGCTAGAAAACAGGTGTTAGAGTTTGTCAATTTTCCCCCAGTTTCTAGTTTAAATATCGCTCTACAACTCTGCAACAGTTTCACACCAGCAATTCAACCGTGTCCTTCCTGTTTTTCACTTTAAGAAGTTTCCCAGTTCTTAACATACCTTCCAGAATTGTAGGAGCCCAGAACTGGACACAGTACTCCAGATTTGGCCTCACCCCAGGGCAGAGAAGATGAGAAGGAGAACCTCCCTCTACCTGCTGGCCACACTTTTTCTAATGCACCCCAGGATACCATTAGCCACCTTAGCCACAAGGGCACACTGCTGGCTCAAGGCCAACCTCTAGGCCCCCAGGACACATCAATTCTTCTTGGCAGAGCTTCTTTCCTTCAGATCATCCCCTAACCTGTACTGATGCATGCAGTTATTCCTCCCCCAGTGTAGGACTCTGCACTTGCCCTTGTTGAACTTCATAAGGCTCCTCTTGATCCAACTCTTCCTTCTGTCCAGTTCCTACATCTTCCAGAAAATGAATACCTAAAGCATTTGATGAAGTGATTTTTGTAGAGCTCAGAGAAACTCATCCTCATGTTTAGAGAATTCATATATAATACATGAAGGAAATTCCAATCTGATTTCATTTCTGGAATGCCAGTGAAAGTGAACTGGAACTTGGAAAAACCGTATGTCTACAATTCTTGTTTCCTGAGCTACACATGAAATACAGTATGCAGGCATATACAAAAGTATATACTTACATATGAGAGCATTTCATATGAGGTATGAGCAGATACAGAAGTGACTTATCCAAGACTGATAATGTTAGCTACAAAATATGAGATTGTACTACCTCTAGAAACATCACAGCTACCAAAGGTTACAGTGTGTTTTGGAGAAAATCCTCCATAGCACTGTGTTAGCATGCTCAGTGTACAATCAATTCAATAAAATTAAATCTAAGCTGAATCCTATTATTCCTTAAGCTTACACTTTCAGAGCAAAGTAATGGCAAGATACATGTCATACTAGTCATTATAGTTCCCACTATGGTATTTCTCTGAACATTAGTTGAAAAAACAATTATTTGATCATATTCTAAAACGCATCTTAAAACAATTTAACAAACTTCAGATTTAAAACATGACAAAACTCTTTGGATTCTTGTGCTAAAATTAATATGAAAGCCTTAAGCCTATTATAATGAAGTTTATTCAAATTCTTGAGCACAGACTATACATAACATTTTAGTACTTCCCAATGAGATATTTATGGTATATATCTATAAATTAAGCATTCATTGCATAAAACTGTATTCATTTCTCTGTCTGCATACTATACAAATTATCACAGAAACAGATGAGCCAACTAAATAGTCTTGAGTATGTCTAACAGTGGCAGGCAGATAAGCTGGTACTGATGTTATCTTCATGGTAAGCAGCTCTAAATGACTCTCTCTTGAATTCACTTAATTAAGAAGCTGAAAAGAAAGGAAACATGATTAAAAGCTGAAAAATGCCTATAAAATATAGTATTACAATTATTTCAAGAGAATAAACAAGGACTTCAAAACATTCATTTGAAAAGCCATTCAATGTTTGTGTAATAATCTCTTAAATGTTTATATCTCATTAGATAATTACTAAGTAAGCATGAAAGTCATCAAATAAAAACCTGAGTGACTGAAACTTGTATTTTCATATTAAAAACATTAAAAAGCAAAATGCACTTCAAACATCTGTTCTCTTCAATCAAGCTCTGCACCTGCTCTTACTACCTAAAAGAAAAATCTATGTCTCCTGGGAGATGTTTCAGATCTATTTTAATCATTCTTCCCTTGTAGTAGTGGCCCCTGAGTGGGGAGGGTATAAATGACTTGGCAAGGTTCTGTAAGGCTCCAGACTCTTATGCTCTTAATGTTTTCATAAATTAAGGTGTTTCAGATGACATTGCTGCTGCTTCATCCCTGGAACAAAACCTTGTATTTAAAATAAAAATTAAAAAAGCTTACATTTCACTTGTCATATATTTCATTTGAGATTTTTCAAGGACATTGTCAAATGAGGTATCCTTACAAAGGGGAACGCAGAGAGAAAGAGTTGTGCACAACCACAGACTGAGCTAATTCTATAAACACAAAATAATGACAGGCTGAACTGAAGGGTTACTACAGCTTGACTGCCTCTAGCTTCACATGTAAGAATTTTTGACTCCTCAAAAATATACAGTGTGCTCAAGTATACACATCGTATTAACTTCATCACTTTTCCATTCATGGCATAATTAACTACTCATTACAAAACAGCCATGCAAGTGCCATAAGCTTAAAAGACAGTACCACTATAAAGATGTTCCCTGCTGCAAAAAGTTGACATACTCATTAAGCAAGACGTACAGACCAAGGCAAAACAGATGGCAACTGGCTGGGTGCTAGAGAGTGAAGCAATTATTGAAAAGGAAATGCGAGAACAACTGTACAAAGAGAATTGCAAGGTGCTGAACAGAGAAATAAGAGAATGCTGTAGAATAGATATGCAAGGCCATGTACAGGAAAGAAGGAATGAAGAGAGGAATAAAGATAGTGGGAAAATTTGGGGCAGGAAGAATAGGAAGGGTAAAGGGTAATCAGGCAGGTAGCAACGACAGAATCAGGGGTGGTAAAAAACTGAAAGATATTACTGTCGGAAAATATAAATATGGCAGTGTCATTTTGAATAAATATTCTGCTACGATATCTACTGCTGTATCTATGTTACTGTTTGTCTGTAACTGAAGCACACATTTAGCAGCTAAGGTAAAAAGCAAAAGTAATGTAGAAGTTATAGAAGTCTAAGAATGAAAAAAAGCCAAAGGTGGAAAAACACAAAACTCCAAAATATTATAAAAATCATGAAACAGAGAGTAGCCAAAAAAAAGATGGGAGGGGTGGGTTTTCAGAAAAACCTGTAAAGACAAGTCGGGTAATACCTGCTTAAGTCGATCTTAAAAGATGCACTACAGAGCTAGACACCTGAAATTTAGAGCTCTTATTCTTTAAAGACTAGAAACCTCACAGAGAGGACTGTGGAAGTCTGTGGCTATTCGTGAACTCATTTGATGATTTAGGTGAAGAAACAGGTTTGGTTTCTATTTCAGTGGGCAACTTTTTTTTTCTGAAAAACTTTCTGTCCAGCCATAATAAGAGAAGAAATATGGAAAATGGTAAATGTGTATTATCATTCTCCTGTCTTTTAGACTTATCCTGATTGCCTCAGTTTTGAAGGAAGTAGTTTATTTTGTTGAGTGCTACAAACCTGACTGTGAATCTTAGCGTTCAACAGAAATAGATTTACCAGTTCATAAATTTCAGGTGAATCAAACTAATTAGGTGTAAAGTCAACATGAAACATCTGAGCAGTTATTTGCAGCACTCACATTTACTAATATTTTAATTTTATTTGTCTGCAGACACTATTTCTATGTTCTATTTACTTACATTTTACCAATCTATTTTGAAGAAATAACTATTCTCTATTCTATTTTATTCACTTGTATTTAATCTCAGTTGTTCAATATTATTCAAGATTTCTTTACTGAAACTAATTTAATTACATCGAGTATAGACATTTCTTATATGGCATATACAGTATATGCAAGATAACCTGCTCCACATCTTGTCTGTCCCTGTTGCTCTGACTCTAGGCAAAGAACAAATACATCATGTCTAACTTAACTTTTATGTTTATTTCATGAAAATAAGGCATCTCTTATTTATTGTGCTTTCTTTCAGCTTATTTCTTTTTCCATGCTAGTCATTTCAGAATATGTATTTTCACATTCTATTAGTTCATAGTTCTGAAGGCTGATTATTTTTTTAATTATTTAACTAAACCCTCTTCACCTTAACGTTTTCAGTAATACACAATTGCAATCGTTTTAAAGGCTAATCTGATAATGAAACTCACAACTGTAGGTACCAAAAAATTCATAAAGATACATAATGCAAGCAACCTAATAAAAAATTACATAAAACTCTCACATTTTCTGTTGTTCATATTATTTAAAATCACATTAAAACAACTGTGCATAGTAAGACCTAGACTTGAAAGAACAATAAAAAGTTCCATCAATAATAAAATGACCCTAAAAATTTCAAAAAGTCCACTTCATAAATTTCAGCCAAAGATAAAACAAAACAAAACAAAAATCATAGATAACTTTTTTTTTTTTTAAACACCACTATACACCGAATAAGACTTCTGTCTTTTGTCTTTTTCTCTTTAAGAAACCAGCATTACAAATATTTTTATTGCTACTATTCACAGTGATACACTACTCTGCTAGTGTATTGATGTATTCTCTCTTGTTCTTACTGTCCCTCCTCATTCTTAATATTTTATGTGCTTTCTTGGACTGCACCAACCTGAAATAAGGTTTGCATAGACCTTTCCAACTTCTTTTCTGAATACAAAAGCTAACTTAGGTTTCATCCTTCTGGCTTATAGTTAAAATTGTTCTCCCTATTGTTAGCATGTATCCTAGTTACTGATAACATTATGTTGAAGTAGTGAAATGCTCAATGACTGAATATCTGATGCTTAATACATCATTTATCCATTTTAAATGCTGGAGTGAGAAGGCTTCTAAAAATATTCCTTTGGATGTATCAACACTCTTGGTCTTATCACAGAATCACAGAATTGCAGGGGTTGGAAGGGACCTCCAGAGATCATTAAGTCTACTCCCCAGCTAAAGCAGGTTCCCTACAGCAGGTAGAAGGGATAAAGGGGAAAATGTACAACAGTGTTAAATAAAATTAATGTATTATCATTCAATCATTAATGACAACAATTAAAATAAAAGTTTTAGCAAAACAAAAAAAAATTCTATCCTGCTCCCACAAAAAGGTGGTTTAGTAATAGCATAAAAAGCCTAGCCATGTTAAAAATGGCTATAGGGGAGAAATTTTTTATGTGCTTACTCATCCATCATGAATGTATATAGCCTGTAAATAACCTTCATGATGATCTCAATTTTGCATCTCCCATTCCAAAGGTTTACTGTATATGTGTATTTTACCAGCACATTAAAACATTACTTTTGCTCAACCAAACTTTCAGGAAAAAATATTCTATGTTAGGGAGAATCAAAACCTAATTTGACAATGTCTGAAGCAGTTTAAAATGATGTTACTCTCCCTTCCTACACACACACGTGCCATCTAAAGAGCATATTTATAGACTTGTGTTGTTCTGTAGCACAGTTCTGGAAACTTTTCTGTTTGTCACAGAAATTAACACTGATAACGGCTTTACCATTAGTCAAGGCATTACCAGCATCAAGGAGGTAACAGCATTCCCAGTACTTTAATTTATGCACATTAGAAAAGGAAATAAATTTATCAGATTTTTAGTCCAGTTATATGTTTATCTAACCCTGTTTTGATTTATCTTCACTACACGGAGGTCACTGGAGAGAAGCAGGCTGCACAGTAGTTTATGTTACTTTTCCTTACTTACGTTACTTTTTATTGATGCATCCTGTTTCACATAGGACATATTTGAGGATTTAGTGACAGAGAGCACAAACACTTCTGTATATATGGCTTATTTTAAAGTAAGACAAAAACTGATGTTTTTGATAGTGCACATAGCATTTAAACAATTAGTTTTCTTTAAATGTCACTTTAGGCATGCCAACATAAGCATCCTTTCTTTTTTTCCAATAAATCATTAGTATGCACTGTTTCTAGTGGTGCTAAAATTTTACTAGCCTGAGGCCAATTTATCACATAAAGACTTACAGTTTCAAGGTGAAATCACAACCAGTTGAAGTAAAAAGACAGACATATTTCACATTTTAAGATATAATTACACTGGGATCTATGGATGAGACAAGAAAATCCTTGGAAAGATGCTAAGGAAGTCAGACAAAAAAAAATGTTTATCAACAGATATGGCTAAAATTAATGTGTAGATATAACATTAAAGGGGCAAAGAGAAATAATAGAGTTTACATACTTGGTCCTTCTGCACACTCACTTCATTAGAATTTGTAACTGTGCATATAAACCAAAGAACTCCTCTTCAGAAAGAGTATGACATTGTCATGAAGGTGGCTGAGACAACTGAAATGTTAATGGCAAGGCTAAAAGGTAGTTTCCAGGGGTGCTGAGAGGCTGCACAAACTATTCCAGATGGCAAATTACAAAATCCATACTGATGAAATCTCACAGTACTATAGTATAGGGCCCTTTGCACATCACTTTCCTTAGCAGAACAGAGTAAAAAGTGGGAAAAGACCTTCTGTGCATATTGCAAGGAGAAGAGTTAAACTATCTTGAGTAGTGGTACGAAACTGAGAATACAAAGCTGGCTTCTGTACTAACACACAAGACCACTCATGGAAATCAACACTAAGTATCAGAAAAAAATTTAGTATTCCCCATATGACTCATTAACAATGACTGTAAAAAAATTAAAAAAAGAAACAGCAGAATTGATAATATTAATAGACTGTTCTTTCATTCTCTACTACTTGAAAATAGAGACTTCTGAATCTGCATTGCTAATGCTTCCCTTATGTATATTTAGTACATGCATTAGATGACAATTCATAGTGTCAAAAGATCTTTCAGCAAAGCATTACTACATCTGCACTACAACATGAATGTCATCCACTTACTCTTTTCAACCATAGTAAACAGTAACACAGACTAATATATAATATGTGATTTATTAGTCTACTAGTTTAAAGAAAACAATTTCACTGGAAATAATGAAAATCTCATCTTTTTAAAATGTATTCTTGCCACTTAGAGTGGGGAAAACAGCTCTTAGCTAGTTTTTTACATCTTAGCTGTACTGTAAAGCCTTGCATAGCATGTTAAGACTTTGTCAATTGTATAAATATGTTTTATATGTGTATATATGTACATATACATATACATAATAGTTATTAATCTTGGATTTAATTGAAACAACAGAAGATTGACTTTTTCTCACTAAAAATATTTTAGATTTCTTACATACCAAAGCTTTGGGAGTGAAATCAAGAGATTTCTATGTTTTGTTCTGTAAACTTGACAACTCAGGAGATGTCATTGCATCGCTTTTACCTCAATAGCCTGGTCCATCATTACTGTAGCACAGAAGACTTAAATGCATGCTACTTTTTCTTCTAGCCTGGCTTCTTCATGTAAATCTAAAAATACTATCAAGATCATGAGAAAATGATATGGGTTCTAGGCAGGCTACTAAAAAAAAGTGTGTAACAAATGAGCAAGATGTAAATCAGAAATCTAGGCAATCTCTACAGGTGACTCACAGCTGAATCACAGAAAGAAATATGTAAAAAGTTCTATAAACTCAAGCATAATTTTTCCTTCACATTTTTCATGTAGCACTGTATAAGCCATGGTCCATACTCAAATGTAACTGGTCTGCATTAACAGTCATTCTAATCCCATCAGATTTCCATCCCTTTTTGATTTGCTTCAGTTGATCACCTTTCTTTCTGCTTCTTCCAACTCCCATAGATTCCAGTGGTAAAAATTAAAGATTTGTTACCTAAAAACTGTTCTTAAATTTAGACAATGTTATTAAAATATATAAGATGAGAATTTAATGAGAAATTACCTGTATGGGTAGCCATGGTATTTGGAGCGGAATATGGACAACAGGAAGCTGAAGAAAAAGACCACCAGACCCAGGCCTACCAGGCATATTACTGGAAAAAAAATAACTTTGTTTACTAGCATATAAAAGATTTAAAACTGGAATCTCTACAAAGAATATTATTTACGTCAATCATTTATATAGAATTTTGACAGTGAAATACAGAAACACTGCTGCTTGCCTACTGATGCTCACTATCTTCTGATAGGATTTCAAATACACATGGAAATAATATTTATGGTTATTAAGAAAAAATAACTTGTCAGTTTAAATGTACTTTCAAGAAAAGAGAGCAGCAATTTGCAACTCAAATGTTTGCGGATGCAAACACCTTATTGCTGATAACAGATTTAATAACCCTGTAAATTATACATATCAAGCAATGTCATTTCAGGTATTTGCTTGTTCTTTTGGAAAACAAATTACATTTAGAAAAAATATGCCTGGACTAATGGAATCATGCTGCCTCTAGTCAACCATCTAAGGCTAAAGTAACTGCAAAGACTATTTAGTAACTGCTTTATCGAATTCTTAGTGGCTAAAACATTTCACTGTATTAAGTTTCAGGGCTGGCAGAGAAATTACTCTTAAATATTATGTCTTTAGGTATTGAAATTAAGTAACAATGACACAGACCTTCTGAGAGCATCCAGATGCAAGCTCTTTGAGCCTTTTCAGGCTAAGAAACAATTAGCAAAGTAAATACTTAACAAATCAAATCTGAAACACCAGGTTACACTTTTGTAGTAGTAGCAAAAAACCTTTTCAATCATCATAACTCACTCAATTGTGCGCAAGTGAAAGAAAAGGAAAAAGGAACATTTTACAGTCTGACGTATATGACTGAGATGCATCTCAGCTATGAGACTGCTCTGAAAGTAATGCCTTATCCCACCACAACAGAGGTGGATGTTGGTTGTAAGTCAGTGGAGGCTGAATATCCCAACAATATCCTGTTTCATTTTGGTGCCAGCAGCAAAGGGGCAGTCTGACAAAATGGTATCTGACACAGAAGTGTGTATGAAGTAAAGGTGTGTCACTGAACTCCTCCATGTGGAAAAAATGGCATCCACTGACATGCACTGATGCTTGCTGAACATTTGTGGAGACCAAACAGTGGATGTGAATGAGCTCAGCACACAGGTTTTTTTCACTGCTATTGAAATGCACAGCTAATGAGCTAATGATGGTGAACATGCTGAAAAACACTGTTTTGTAGCTGAGAATTTGCTCTCTCAAGTAGTTGTATCTGTTGTAGTTTCCATGGAAATAAATAGAAGCGAGTGAAGCCGAAAATGGATGCATTTTTCATTAAAATTGACTATGTAAAAACTGACATATATCAATCTAATTGTTAAAACTTCTGCAACTATTTTGAGAAAATTAGCCCTGTACAGATTTTATACACATGCTTCATCATACAGAAACTGCCAGTCACAAACGTGATTTCAAACCATAATGAAATGAAGTGTTAAGCATGAACAATGCAAGGCACACAGAAAGCATTCAAATGAAAGCCATAAGTAGAAGCAAGTTTGAACTTGTACTATAGCCTATGTCACTACACACACGTTATCACAGAACCAACTGTGATCCAACAACACGTGCCAATTAAAGTAAGGTCAATGTCTTTTTCAAAATCAGTATTAGTTAAGATCCATGAAGGATACACAAAATCAAGTAATACCTCTACAGCTCACTGAAGATGATACTCAAATCAGCATAGACAAACAGCTAACATTCAACCTACCATTATGAAGCATTATTGGCTAGCCCTATCTGCTATGCTGTATATTACATACAAGATGCTAAAGAATGGATTTTAAAAGAACAAATAAATAGCATAGAAATGATGGTATCTTTAAAAATCTTCAACCTTTTATGTGAGAAAAAAGTAAATAGCTGTATGGTAAAAAGTTTAAATCTGAGTAAAATGCTTTCATATTGTGTTCTTATGCAACTGACTGCCAAAAAAATCTTTTAGATACTCTGAATGAGAATGAAATTCAAAAAAAAAACCCATAAAACTAGCACTTCTGGCTAGGAGCCCTTAGATGTTACATATTAGGATATATTCTGCATTGTTGTGCTTTCACTTTCCTCAGAGACATATTGTACAAAGTGTAACAAGAATTTTTTTTCTCTCCTTTGCATGTTGTCACAAGCATCTTAAATGCCTAAACTTATTTTGAAAATGCTTTGAAACTCCTGTTCTTTACCTCACAGACTTTCAGTATAATACAAAGCCGAAAAACATTTACACTATGCCTTTCTACATCATAGAGAATGTCAAGTCGTAAGTTGACTGGGGATGCTTAAGACTTGTTTTTACTGCTACAACACGCTAATATAATCTATTGAAGCTCTATGCTATGCTCTTCTCCACCCCACAACATGTAAAAATTAGTTTAAGGAAGAACTTTAAAAAACTTAATCAGATAGTCATTTGTAATTTCTCAGTATCTTTTTAATTGTGATAACATTGTCTTAATTGTACTAAGTAACTTACTTCTCCTCTTCCCAACATCCCCTTTGGAGGTAGCAGCTTCATTCAGGAGTACCATTCCCATGGTAATTGCAGCATCTATATCACCATTGTCAAGGAAACAGCAGATGTGTGGATACCTCAGAAAGCCACAAAGGCACAGCTAAAAGCTAAAGCTTTCAAGTTGATAAAAAATATTTATATATAAAACTGCATATCACAATCTACTGAACCACAACAGATTCACCTGGGGGAAAAGTAGGAACAACATTTTCCTTTGAGCATTCCACATAAAAAAGGAAAGAAGGTTCAAAAAGCTCTAGAGAGTAAGTCCTTATATAGGACATATGGCTTTTCAATAATTATGGAAATAGATATTCCCCAATATTTTCCAATATTTGGTATATTGGAAAGTAAAGGATTTTACAAAACGAAAACTAAAAGAGCAAATCATTCCTATTCCATAGTGATTTTTTTAAATGAAAACTGAAGCAGCTCGACTGCTTTATCTTTAATCTGCTTCTCAATAGACATTTGCTTAGTCTTTAGTGTCATACTGCAGCAGAGAAACATCCCAGAAGCAAAGTCCTCAGTCATTCTCAGTTTTATTGCCTAATTATTACTGTTAGGAATACAAACAACTACATAACGATAAAACAATTTAGCAAGATCTTAAACCATACAATTAATTGCTTACTTAAAACTCGATAAAAAGAATGGTTGCAACTTACTGTGTTTAAAATCTGTTCTGAGGAGGAAGCATGAATGAATGCCGCACTGAAGCAGGAGTGTGTCACCTGAGCTATATCTTATAATTTCAGAAAATACAAATTTTAATAGACACAGCTAAATCTTGAATAAGGGAGAGATTTTTAAACTTTACTTTCCCCAGGGCTAGGCAGCAGGATGACAGACTAACTACCAAATTTAAGAATGAAACACATTTCAATTTACCTACACCTATAATACACAAGATGCTTCACGCATACTACAGACATGAACAATATTTCCAGCCTCTGACATTATGCCTGCATTAGTGTTATTAATATTACAGAATTCACAGAATATTTTAAAATCTTTCCCAAAATAGGTGGGGGAAGGAGGAGGAGGAATGGAATCCACACTATTATACAAATTAGAAGAGAAGGTAAAAAATCACATTCTAAAACTTTTTCCTGAGCACAAGAGACTGGAAGTTTCTTGTGCTACTCATATGCTTCTATGCAAGACTTGAGAGGGTATCATAAAACTCATTCATTTCTCTGCTTTCAAATGTTAAGAGTGCAAAATAAAGAAATGAAAAAGTTGCAAGAAAGGCTGAAAGAAACACCACACAGATTCCACATATATTTCTACCCTATCAATAAAAGCCCCTAGCATTGAATTATCTAATAACAACTTTATTTTACCAATCTCTCATTTAGATTTGTAACAGTAATTAGTTCTGTTCATACTTTAACTGAATCATGAGGAGTGACAAAGATCAAAACCCACTAAAAAGTCATTTGGCAGATATGAGGTTTTTTTTGTTTGTGCGTTTGTTTGGTTTTGTGTTGTTTTTTTTTTTAAACAGACCATGATTTTTAATCCACTTTTCCTATTACTGTGAAGAACAGTTTGACAAAAGCAACATCTCCTCTGCAACTGAGAGGAGATCTATAACCAGCTGAACTGTGCTTTTTTTTCCCCCTCTTTTGGAGACTCACATCATTACCCTTCCAACTTTCTTCACATTGTCACTACTTTTGCTTCAGTTGTTGCTTTCTAACTTCAGTCATCATTGGATTTTCAGCCTCACTTAGTTGATGTCAATGACACTGGCTTTATAACTTCACACTCTAACAGTGATCGAGTCACTTACTTTAAATCTGTGATGCTGAAGCAAAACTTCAGTCAGTTGAGTCCTGATTTCAATGCAATCATTAGCTTTGTACCATAGAATATTTAGTTTAAATTACTGTTTTGGGCTCCTCTTTCTAGCACTGTATGTTGTGTCTTTATGTTATTTTGATATTCCACAAAATAAAAGCAACAGTCCTGTTCCAGAAATAATCTTTTGACATATCTCATTTCTTCAGTAATGTAGAATTTCAAGTTTTGTCAAGTGGTTACTTGGACGGTCTTCCATTGTCAAAAAATTTAATAGCATGAAAAGATGTATTTGTTTTCTGATTTCTGTTGATCTCTGTCACTATGCATTATGAAACTACTCTAAAAAGATAAGGTAAATGTGGCACTCAAACGATAGCTAGCAAATGTTTTAAACTCAGATGCTTATGTTTTCTGGTAAACATATCCTTTTGTAGCAATTTTGTAGGTGTATCTACAAAGCCTGTTAAATATCTTTCCATTTTTAAGTTTGGAATTATTTCTGTTTTACCTATTAAACTTTTGCTGCCCCTTTTCCCAGATGGCACATAATCCTCACCGAAACTGAGAACTTACAGAATTTACACTAGTTACTTTGTGCTTGTGAAAAGGCTCTGAATACTTTGTTAAATGTGGAGCACTTTAGTAGTATGATGAAAAACACTGATGATCAAAAATCATAAGATTATTCATAAAATGATCATCATCAGCAGAATATGATATTTAGCTCTGCAAATACCAAGATGTTTTATTGGAAGTATTTTTAAGAAAAATGATTGGATCATTGAACTCTGTAATAATGGATACCTTACAAAATGTAAGCCATCACTAGTAAATTCTAGGTAGTTTCTATTAGCATGCTTTGACTGAAAATTTAATTGCTATTAATTCAGCCAGAATGTCCCAAAGAAGAAAGCCTGTCAGTCTGTAAGTTATTAATGTCATATACCATTTATATCCTTACTTCACAAATTTAGTCATAATCACTAGTGAGTGGGTAACAAAAGGAGAGAAAATTAGTTAAGAGAAAACTTGTTAACTTTGTAAAAAAAAAAAAAAAGTATAGAGGTCTCATTCATATGTTGCTGGATTACTGCTAAGAGTAAAAACCCTAAATCAACATTATTCATATTAAAAAGAACTATGTTGTATCTGTGGACCATTTAATAATATATGAGCGAAAATTACTGAGAGACAAAAATGTTAATTTGCTCAACTTTGTGTTCAATTTATTGTTAATTAAAATGGGGATAGTTTATCTCTCAATCGTGAAAAACTTCTCGCTTGCTTTATCATGCTTGGAACAAACAAGAACACAAGCATCTTTAGTAAAGGGGTATCAAGATTAACAGGAAAATCTATGATTTACTGTATACATTTTTTTACCCCCCTGAGGAATAATAAGTAAAACATGATATGCTGTCCCCTTATGAGAAGAGGGCATATCCCACCAACCTAGAAAACTATTTGCCTTAGCTTCTTCCTATTAATATTTAAACCTTTAAAATACTTGCTATAATTTCAGATATATTGAATATATATTAACTATACTTTAACTGAGCAGTTTGAAAGTGTATTTAACTTTCAGCTTACATTTGAAAAACCCAAACATAACATGCATTCCAATCATTCTACTCAGGAAATATCCTTTAGCTATGTCCAATTCTTGAAAATGAAGTGTTAGTAACTTTTCCATCTTGAGAATCTGATTTTTTTTTTTTTTTTTTTTTTTATGATAGGGTGAAGAAACTAATCAAGTTATGATTTTGAAATGAAAGACATTGTTGCTTCATTTCATGAACAAAGAGTCTGATGTTCCACTTCTACTCTTCAGTGTGCCATCAATTCTGGATTAGACCATAACCGTCCCAGTGGATGGTTCAACAAGACCTGATGGCTGAGGAATGAGGTAAGTTTAAGATAACCAATCTTTTTATGTCTGAACTCAGTGAAGGATAACTCCATATGTTGATAAAATGAGCATAGTTCAAAAATTATTTGTTTGAATGAAAATGTAACTCACTCAAACTGTACACAATCGGGTCAAACATCAATATATTTAATTGCCTGAATTATAGCTGTCCTGATAGTCATAGTTAAAACTCTGAACATTCTTTCAGACCAAGACTCTGGCTTTAGCTCTTCAAGAGTTTTATGAATTATTACACTAGTTTTGGCACTCAAGTTCCCTCAACTCCTTGAAACCAGCAATTCACAACTGTGAAGGAGCTGTAAGTCTGCATTTCATCCATTTAAATGTCAACTAAAGTACCACATCCTCTTTTTTGATGCTTTTCCATCAATTGCACAGAACAGAGAATCAATCTGATAGTAATATAGAATCCACTATAGTGAAAAAGTTCCCTTATTCATTTGATTACTGTCAGCTTCAATTCATGAGATTTTCACAGAGATTGTCATTTTAATCCAGAGATAATCTGATGGAACCTGCCCTCTTGTGATGCTCTTAGACATTTGAAAATGGAAAGGCTGTATAAAAGCTTTAGAAGAAGAGAAAGATTCTGGAATGCATTTTAACTCAACTGCAACAACGTAGCATAGATATATCCAACTAAGCTTGTGCTAAATCTCTAATCAGATATTAATGCCTCCAACTCCAGGTTTTGCAGCCTCATTTACATCCTAGTTATTCATACTGGTGTTGCCGTTTAGTTTTAAAATTAAATGTGTAGATTAATTTTGCATTCAGTATTTATGACCTTTTTGTTTTTATGAATTATATTCGATGGACTTTCAGGGTTAGTCTTGTTCATATTACAGACTCTTATAATGTAGTTTGCCATTGTACAAAATAAATATCATTTCTGACCTTGTTTACATTTTATAATATGGTTCTAGAAATTTTCTGTTCTAGAGGCTCATGAATCACAGAAGTGTCCACACCAAGCAGATAAAGAAAATAACTGAATGAATGTTCTTAATAGTTTCACTTCTTAACTTTTAAAAACATCTCATTTAAAACAAGCTGTATTTAAGACATTTATCAATACATAATTTATTCTTCTAATACTTTATTCCAAACAGACATATTACTTTGAGGCACTTTATTTCAAATGCTTGTTTCATATACTTGTTTCAGTACATTGCCTGATCTCTTTGCTAGTACACAATCTGTTAGCACACATACACACTTTTTCTCTTGCTCTCTCAAAGCACCTATGGATTTTTTAAAGAATGTCACGTATCTCATCATATATGACTCTAGGCTA